CATCACTTCTTGCCTGGAAGAGACCAAACCCCATCTTACTACAACCACCTTTCAGATAGTTGTAGGGACTGATAAGGTCCCCCCTGAGCCTTCTTTTTTTCAGGATGAGCTCCTGGTTTTCCAGCCCCTTCCATCCCTGGATGCCTCAATGTCCTTCTTGTCCCGAGGGACCCAAAGCTGCCCCCAGAATTCCAGGTGTGGAATTCCAGTGCCCAGCACAGGGGGGGCAAATCCCACCCTCTCCCGTTCCCACATTCCCGCTTGGGAAACTTTGTGTCTCACGTGGGTTTTGGGGCAGTTTGGGGGGAAAACTCATCCCGAGGAAAGTGTGGAATGACTCCTCTCCCATTCCAGGCTGTGCCATGAGTGGCCTGATCGCTGATGCCAAGACCTTGATTGACAAGGCCCGAGTGGAGACTCAGGTGAGATCCCACAAATCCTGGGAATGCCTTGGGAGTCCAGGGAAAGGGAAGATCATTCCAGTAAAGGAGCTGGAATGGGAAAGGTGTGGAGTGGGAGGTTTGCTGGGAGCACAAGGGCTGTGCCTGCCTCTGTTTTGGCAAAACACTGGATATATTGGATGTGTTTTTATCCCCCTAAATTTCCTGGATGCTCCAAGGTCCCAGGGGCAAATCCCTGCTGGAGTAAAGGCTTTTCCTGAGGCTTTTCCTTACATATTATCCTACATATTTCCTACATATTCCCCAGCTCTGGAGAGCTGGATAACCCATTGCTTCCAGAACAGATGCTGGGATAAGGCATTCCAGCCTTGTCTTTCCCTGCTGTTATCCCAAGTTTCGGTTATCCCGAGGCTTTCTGGGGATTTCTGCCCTTCCCGGCTCTTCCACGGGAGCACTGAGTTCCCCAGGGAGATAATCCCTGTGGGATTGACGCTCCTCCCCGCCCCAGCAGCCCCCCGGGAATGCCGTGTTTCCCGGGAGCACAGGGACAGCAGGAATGTTTGTCCCCCTTTCCCTGCAGAACCACTGGTTCACCTACAACGAGACGATGACGGTGGAGAGCGTCACCCAGGCCGTGTCCAACCTGGCCCTGCAGTTCGGGGAGGAGGA